ACCGAGAAAGCAGAATACTCCGCAACCGAGAAATATCATTTGTAAAAGTCATGTGGCAGAACCACACGCCCAGGGAGGCGACTTGGGAACTGGAATCAGAATTTAGGGCTCAGTATCCCCATCTGTTTGATCAAGAGTAATGAGGCAAATTTGGGGACGAAATTTCTTTATGGGGGGGAGAGTTGTAGCGCCCGGACCGAGAAGGAAAAAAAAAAAAAAAGCCACGTCGGCAGCCACGTCAGCAGCCACGTCAGCAGGCCCGGTCAGCAATCCCGGCCAACTGGGGCCTGCCACGTGGCAAGACCACGTCACTCCGAAACGGGCCACGTTGGCGATCCGCGTGGGCGCGATCGGACGGCCCAGATGCAATCGCACGGACGGCCCAGATTCAATCAAAAACGAACGGCCCAGATTAAAACAAAATGAACGGATGAGATCAAAAGGCAAGGGGTTATAAATAGAACCCCCACACCAGACCACAAACCCTAGCCGCCTGCTGCTCGCCGGAGAAGACAAACCAGAAGCCGGCCGCCGCCACCCGCCGCCGCGCCGGGGAAATTTCTGACCGCCGATCGAGGTAAATTTCATACTCCCGACTCGTTTTTCCACGCTGATTCCTCTTGTGGCCAAATCGGAGCTAAAATCCCGGCCAAACGGCCAGAATACGCGGCCGAAGACCAGCGGCGCCGCCGCGCCCCTTCTCGGTTTTTGCCTCCGACGAGGCCCTTCCCGACCTCCGTTTGATGCAATTTTTATATTACCGTGATCACCATTCTTTTCTCTACAGGTTGACCGGAGCCGAATCACCAAAACACGAACCTCGCCGGAGAGCCGCCGCACCCGAGAGCGCCGCCGCCGGTAAGCTCTGTTTTTCCGTGATTTTTTGGCCCCCCGAGGGCTCTAGGGTTGTTTTCTCACAGGGACCGATGCGAGTGTGACCGAATTCGGCCAGAAACGGCCGAAAACAGCCAACCCGAGGCGACTCGCCGCCGCCAGCGGCGGCGCCGTCGCCGGAGCCGCCGTGCCGGAGTTGCGATTTGGGCCGAAAGGGGCCCTGGGCCTAATTTGGGATTTTTTTGGAACACGTGCAGGTACCAGTAGTGCGTTTCAGTTCCCCGAGGAAAATTCAGAGAAAATTAGGGACAGCCTGCAAGCGCACTGTG